ATTTCATCGAACGTTACACAAACATGTCTACGCATTTTTATTGTTTTTTGTGCATGTGTTTTGGATAAAAATATTGTTTTTACCATGAAGCATGGACCGTCAGGGAAGCAATCAGGAAGTATTTTTTTTTCAACTATTTTTATATCTACTGTGAAAAATTATATACCAATTATTTGCGAATTTTGACACAGGAGCTCAGGCAGAAGGGTTAAAATTGTTCAGTAATGCAGGGATCAAACGGTTAATGTAGCAAGGTATGGTATTGTGCGAAACTACGCCGATCACAGTCATATGATCAATGTCCTTATCCACTACGCTAAAGATATTTGAACTCGTCTCTACACTACGTTTGACGTGTTTAAAATTTACTAATTCCACATTCGAAATTTTATGATGGATTCCAGATTCCAGATCTGTGTACAAGATCGAATCTGAGTCCCTTCCACGTGACTGCCATCAACAACGTGGGGTTTGTTTTGGTCAATAGAAGAAAAAGTTTAGCGTGGAAATATAAACAATCTTTCTCAAGGGAGAAAGATTTTCTTTCTCGGGGAGTGTGTCGACGCCATTCTTTTATTTACTTATTTTTGACAAAAAAACAAAACTATTCCGACTGGAAAAAGTCTAAGTGTGTAAGACATTGCACACAGCTAATTCGGGTTCAAATCCACCCAAAATTGGTGGAGCGAAACAGTTTAGGCCTCAAAATACTATAAGGAAGTGGAGAAATCTCTGGGTTAGTGAGTTAAGCTGTCAAAGGACACCGAGTTCTGCTTTCCTCTTCCTGAACAGCTCATTTCTTTTACTTTACTGACAGTAAGCGTATCAAATTCTATTGAAAATAAAAATCATTTGTTACAATGGTTATCTTTTCTGTCTTATATTACTTTCCAAATAAGACGAGCGGAGAATTTGGAACTTCCGGTAAATATTTCATCCTCTTTGTATATACCGAGTGTAACAGAAAAATTGTACAAATCGTGTAATTGTCGATCTCACAAAGTTTTTTTTATATAAAAACCGCTAAAATATTTAAGTTTCTTTTTACCAGGTCTTTAAATAAGACGCTTAGCCATCTTGATGCCATTTTTCATAAGAATCATTGAAAACCCTTTGAGTTATTCAGATAGAAAGAGAACGTATTAAAATAGTTTTGTGTCAGCTCCACTCCCTTCACAACTGAGCAATGGTGAGAGAAATTAGATCATTCAGGCCTTCAGCAATGATACCAACATTCATATTCTGGCTTCCATCTGCAAAATCCATTCAAGAAGCATGAAGAGAACATTGAATAAGTTTAAAAAAGAGGGAAGAGTAAAGAGGAGAACTGGATCAGTAGGTCTGAAGAAGAAGAGGGATCAATTAGAAAAGATCCAACTCAATCCATGAGACATTTGGCACGTGAGAGAGAAGTTTCAGCTATGACAGTCCAAAGAGCACTGAAAAAAGACTTGAAAATGAAATTGTACATGGAAAGTGTGAAGCATCTTGCTACTCTAAGACAGAAATTTATAAGATTAGAGAGGGCGAAGATCATCTTGAATAAGATGGAAAATGATCCTGGAATAATATATATATATATATACATATATATATATATATATATATATATATAAATTTTATTTTAATCCTTCATGAGCTTCCGACACTTAGCTATGATTAATTAATGACGAACATGACATTTTCGTTTATGACCGATTTAATCACAATAATTCTGTTAAGCTTAGATATATATATATATATATATATACTACGAAATGGACAAAATCCGAAAATTATCTTAATATGTTTTATTGTTATACGTTATTTATATAGACATAAATAACGCATAACTATATATATATATATATATATATGCTTCGGGAAAAAGACTCCCGAAATTATGTTTTCTTGACGTCTACTATATTAACTTTTTCATGTTCAGTTTCAACCTTTATCTTGTATATTCTAATTTACCTACTTTTACCTCTATAAATCAAGGTCATTCCATAACACACTAACTTGAGTGGCTCTTGGGGCTTGGACTGAGTGGACAAAAGCGGCTAAAATCAAACTCGGTGGCAGCTAAGAGGGAGTGTAGCATAATATTGCTCTTAATATATTTACAATATTTTATTTGTATAGTCACCCATTGGTGCCTGGCATAATGCCTAACTCGTCTAGAAATGCCTGAATTCTCAACTGGATGTAACCGTTTTTTCAGATTTATGTTTAAAAATGGCGCTACAGAATCACAAACAAAGAATTGTACAAAATATCAGAGTCCTTATCACTTTTTTTTTTAAACGATTCCATCCCAAGCAAGGCAGTAAAGCTACCAAAACTGACGTCGAGATCTCATCAATTTACCGTTGAGCTGGTTAGATGTAGCCGTAAGTTGTGTGCTAACAGTTTCTTTTCTCGCACTTGTCGCTTGTGGAACTCCGTTTTCCAACAAACTTTAATCTCCTGTCCTCTCGATTATTCCTTTCCCTTCCCGCTCATTACGAATGTTTTTATTCCTAATTCTTCACTATTTACATTATTCGGACTATTGCCCTCATCTTTGTTGCCATGTTTATCACAACGTTTCGGCCGTTGTACGCTCCGGCCTCCTTCAGGTGGTTGGAATGTCGAACTGAACCCTTTATTTCGCTCACTGGGTTAGACTTATAGTTCAACGTGTCATGTCTAATGGATGTCAGTTATCCCCTGTTAATTCCCCTCTGAAATTTCTCCACTGTCGTAACCAGGTATTGAACTCACAACTCTTTGGTTCTTGTCACTGGATCTAACTAACGCTTTTATCCACTCTGCCATGTGTCCTTGACGACATCTGTGTAAGAACATCATTGGAAAATTCGTAATTCGTAAATCAACACATATGCTAGGCCACAAAAATCTCCTGAGCCGACCAAGCATTGACATGAATATAATAGGGGAACCAGTCCCAGGGAAAAGCGATAATAACAAAAAAAATTGCAATATGAGCTCTGGTAAAAAACATGCAATGATAACAGCAAAAAAAAAAAATTGCAATACGAGCACTGGTAAAAATGGTTGCTGAAGACATTAGGTTTAGAATACCCAGAAATTCACACACAGATGTATATGAGTTCAAAGACGAGGACAATAATCTGAATAATGTAAATAGTGTACATAATCCCTCATCTCAGAAATATAGACAGATCCTAATTTTTCTACAGCTTGTAAGAACTCGCGTTTTAGTGGCTTCTGCAGTGTTGAACAAAAACTTGGAGAGTTAAGTTAAAGGGAGATAACTGAGATATCTGGAAGAGGCATGACACGTGGAACTAGAACAATCTACACCGGTGGACGAAATAAAGGGTTCAGTTTGAAATTCCAGTCACCTGAAGAAGGCCGGAACATGCAACGGCTGAAACGTCGTGAATATTACAATAAAGATGAGGACAACAGTCCAAACAATGTAAATAATATAAATTATTCCGAATATTTTCTTATAACGAAACTACTAATATTACCAATACTATTAGAAATGCGAAGAACTGATGCTACACTTTGATCCCAGCCCTATCATTAAGGTGTGAAGAAAGGCTAAGTCTAGTAGCACGGACTGCTCGGTCAGTGAATGTCAAATGTTTCCTTATAAGGAAGCAGCTAATATGGCCATGGTATTAAATATGTGGGATTAATTGATGTCTATATATCTTTTTGCACATTTAATGTGTAATCGCATTTTCTGTTATTTTTTTTTTCTATTTCCAGGTTTAAAAGTATTTCCTAATTACAAAATTCGAAGAGTATTAGCAAAAAGGATGAGACGAAAATTTAAATTCCAAATCCGATATAGCAAAATCAATCGAACACAAAAATTTAAATATCTGGGAACTGCTCTAACAGAGGATGGAGAATGCGAAATTAAAATCCGAAGGCACATTGGGATGGCCAAAGATGCTTTCCAAAAGCTAAGCAGAGTATTAAGAGATAGAAACACTTTGTTAAAAACAAAGAAAAGAGTTCTGCACTGTTATTTGATATCTGTCCTTCTACATGACAGTAAGTGCTGGATAACTTCCTCAAAGATAAAGAAGAGACTTGAAGTAACAGAAATTTGGTTCTACAGAAAGATGATGAGGATACCATGGACCAAACCCGTGAGCAAGGACGAAGTTTTAAAGAAAATGGAACCACAAAGGAAACTTATAATAACATCAGAAAGAGACAGTTGAAATTTCTGGGGCAAATAATGAGGAAGGACGGCTTGGAAAATTCGTTACTCACAGGAGAGATTGAAAGCAAGAGGGACGAAGGAAACAGCGCACTAGATACATAACGAGCTTGAGTAAATGGATGGTGGAACAGAGTTTAGAAGAAAATAACAGAAAGACAGGAGTTATTAAGAACTACAAAGGCCAGGATGTTGTGGAGAGTTATGATCGGCACATAGAAGAAGAATGAGCTTGAGTAAATGGATGGCGGAACAAGGTTTAGGAGAAATAGCAAAAAGACAAAATTTATTAAGAGCTACAAAAGAAAGGAGATAGTGGAGAGCCATGATCGCCTATGTATTGAAGGTACACGACACATAGAAGAAGAAGAATGAGATTGAGTAAATGGATGGCGGAACAAGGTTTAGGAGAAATAACAAAAATACAAAATTTATTAAGAGCTACAAAGGAGAGGAAATAGTGGAGAGCCATATTCACCTAAGTCCTGAAGAGACACGGCACATAGAAGACGAAGAATGAGCTTGAGTAAATGGTAGCAGAACAAGGTTTAGGAGAAATAACAAAAAGACAAAATTTATTAAGAGCTACAAAGTAAAGGAACTAGTGGAGAGCCACGATCGCCTAAGTCCTGAAGGTACACGACACATAGAAGAAGAAGAATGAGATTGAGTAAATGGATGGCGGAACAAGGTTTAGGAGAAATAACAAAAATACAAAATTTATTAAGAGCTACAAAGGACAAGAAATTGTGGAGAGCCATGATTGCATACGTTCTGAGAGGACACGGCACATAAGGAGAGAAACTATAAAATGATTAAACAAGCAAAAGTAATTTCTTTAATTTCTTTCCCTCCCTCCGAAAACTTTCTGATTTTCCTTTCTTCATGGTCTTTTTTTCTTCTTTCTTTTGCACCACATTCTTTTCCGTTCTTCTTCTATTTATTTTATCTTTCTTTATTTTCTCTCGTACTTTGATTACTTTATCCTTCACTTTTTCATTGTTTACCTAATTCCCTTCATTCTGTCATCTCTACTTGCCACGTTTATACCTAATTTCCATTTATTTTTATTTTCTTTTATTTCTTGGTTAATTCCCACTACTCACAATTACTTTTCTTTTTCTTCTCTTCTTTCTTTTTTTTCTTAATTTTTGGTGTTCCATTTAGACACGCATTCTTTCTTTCCTTCTCACTGACTTTTCATCTTTCTTTCATTCTGGTGCCTCTCATCTCCTGGCCTTTCCTTCTTCGCCTTTTTCCTTGCCTTTATTTTTTTCGCTTCGCTCTATCTTTCAGTTCTTCCTTACTCTTTCTGTCCTGTTCATCCATCCTAGTCTTCATTCATTCTGGTTTCATTTCCTCTCTTATATTTCCATATTCTTTCTTTATCGTTTACCCTTTTCTATATTTCATTCATTCATACTTTCTTTTTTTTCGTTCGTTCATTCGTTCTAATGTTAATTAATTCTAGTTTATTTCTCTCTCTCATATATACTTTTTCTTTTTCTCCGCTGTTTCGTCTAAGTTTTTCTTTCTTTCTTTTTTCTCATTTTTTCTATTTCTTTCGTTTTTTTTCTTTCTTTCGTTCTTTCGTTCTAACGTTAATTACTCTGTTTTTTTTTCCTCTCTCATATTTATTTTTTCCCTCTGTTTTATTTCTTCCTTTCCTTCTTCTCCTTTTTCTTTTTCTTTCTTTCTTGCAGTCATTATTTATTTTCTTTCATTCATTCTTTCTTTCGTTCTAATGTTAATTACTTTTTCTTTTTTCTTCTCTGTTCCTTTCTTTCTTCTTTCTTTCTTTCTTTCTTTTTCTATTTCTTTCATTTTTTCTTTCTTTCGTCCTTTCGTTCTAATGTTAATTACTTTTTCTTTTTTCTTCTCTGTTCCTTTCTTTCTTCTTTCTTTCTTTCTTTCTTTCTTTTTCTATTTCTTTCATTTTTTCTTTCTTTCGTCCTTTCGTTCTAATGTTAATTACTTTTTCTTTTTTCTTCTCTGTTCATTTCTTTCTTCTTTCTTTCTTTCTTTCTTTCTTTTTCTATTTCTTTCATTTTTTTCTTTCTTTCGTCCTTTCGTTCTAATGTTAATTACCTATGTTTTATTTCCCTCTCTCATATTTACATTTTCTTTTTTTCTCCTCTGTTTCTTCTCACTTTCTTTCTTTCTTTCTTTCTTTCTTTCTTTCTTTCTTTCTTTCTTTCTTTATACTTTTCCTCTCTTTCTTTCTTACTTTCTATTCATCATTTTTACTCTTTCTTTCTTTCTTTCTTTCTTTCTTTATACTTTTCCTCTCTTTCTTTCTTACTTCCTATTCATCATTTTTACTCTTTCTTTCTTTCTTTCTTTCTTTCTTTCTTTCTTTCTTTCCTCTAAGAGTTTTTCCCTTCTCGATCTCTTCCTATTTCCCTTTTTCCTTTTCTTTCCCAATCTCTATAACATTCTTTAATTCTTCCCCTCTCTCTGCTTCATTTTTTCTTTCCTTCTCTCATTCCATCCTCTCTTTCGACTAATATTCTTTCTTTTTCTCGTAAGCTATTTGTTGTTTTTTTTTTCATTCACATTAACCCCGACTCTTTAGCCACCCAACCCCGAAGTCTCTTAGTCTCAACCAAGATTCCTGAAACAACCATATGTCAATTTCATCTTGCCATTAACACGGCTTCTTCTTAAAGGCTATACTGTCTTGTGAAGAACCTCCTGGGGTGGAAAGAGCTGAGAATGTCGGGGGTAAAAACAAGTGACCGTCTGGCATACCAACGAACTGACGTGACCCTTGATAAAGGGTTAGATCCGATATTTGTCCTTATATTATTTTTATAGAATTGCCCTTGTTTGCCCAGTCATGGCTGACGTGTGGGACTGAGTTACTGATTCGCTTATTTAAAAATGACATATTGATCAAGAAAATCTTCTTTTCCTTTTTTAGCCATTAATATTCACTATAAATCTTCAATTAACTTGCTGCGTTGGCATTTTGATCAGTTTACATTCAGGCTTTATGAAGTCAGCGCTCTTGGCAGTCGGTAGTTAGGTTCGAACTCCGACTGCAAACTGTGAAGAACATATCCGGTGATAATGTCGTGTGTTTTAACCTTATTGGTAATCAAAGTTCTTTTAAGAAACAACCATAAAGACGTGGTGGAAAAAAAAAAACAGTCTATCGTGATTCCTTCTGTCTCTACAGGAAATATCTGATTACTTCGGCCATGATCTCTCTGTAGGTGCCTGGGTTGGAGCTAACTAAATTCTCTTTCTTTCTCTCTCTTTCTCTCTTTCCCCCTCTCTCTTTCCCCCTCTTTCTCTTTCTCTCTATCTCTTACACAACGTCGTCCGCTTATTGCTAACCTGTTACTATTCCTATGGCCACTGTTAAGATGAGCCCCATTCTTTAGTTCAGAACTTTCAACGCCATGCTAATTCCGCAGAGTCGAAACACCAACATTTTCCCCGTATTCCGAACCTACTTCGTGCACCATTGGTGGGATGTAAGTTTCACTCAAGCATCTTCCCAACCACAGGCTCGAAATGTTGCTCTGTGGAACCGACTTCCACGAAGATGTTCTCCCGAAGACTACAATTTTTTTTTCAAGTCTAGTGTTAAGCGTTATCTTCCATACATAAACTCCACATAAGCAAAGCCTCTTACTTTGTAACCCTCTGCCTGAAGTGGCTCCCAGGCCTTCTACAAGGTTAACATCACTATAAAAAAAAGGAATGTTTCCACACAGAAAGCATTTTCCCGAGAACTGCAAATTTGTGGAAGAAACTCCCACGTTTATGCTTCCCTGAACTCTAAATTTTAACCTCGTCATATAGTGTCATTCGTGATCTATCGTCATATAGTGTCATTCGTGATCTATCGTCATAATCCTTATTTCTTACGACCTTCTTTTACATTCATATCACGCACTTAATTCTGTAGAGCTCTAATTTGAGTGGTTCTCGGGCCTTTTAATAAATAAAATACGCCTCCCTCTCATATATACATATTTATAAATAACTGGAAATCGTATGGTCCGGATAAAATGTCACTACAACAATACCAGGGCCGTATTTGCAGAACGGGCGCTTAGGGGCCTAGGCCTCCTTCCTCATTTTTTTTAAAGTATTATAAACTATGGGAGTATAGATAAAAAAATGTTCTTTTTAAAAGAAATAACTATCTAAAACTGAATATATTTACTACTTTTTTTTATTGAAATAATAATTTGGAAATAAGATACAAGAAATTAACTTTAACTTAGATAAATCGATGTTATTTACTTGATAGCAATAGTAATTAAATAAATACTTTTTAAAAAAAAAAAATTTCTTTAAGAATATTAGAGTGGGGATCAGAATCCACCCACCCAACATCCAGAAAGTACGGTCCTTGTATTGTTGCAGTGGGGTTTTATCTGGACTGCAACCCATGATTTTTTTGTTAATACTTATTTAAACGTAGAAGTGGGGGTTAGCCCCTCCAGGAAGTATAGCCTTGACATTGTTACAGTAGGGGTTTATCTAGACCTCCATAGTTAATAATACTTTTTTAAAAAATATTGGAGAAGGAGGTCTAACCCCCGAAGCCTTCCTTCTGCAAGTTCGGTCCTAATATTGTTGTGGTGGGTCCTTGTAGTTGTTGAAGTAGTATTGTTTTATCTGGATCCCACGATTTTCAGCTATTTAAAAATATAGAGGAGAGGGGGGCTTAGCACATTAATTCCCACTCAAGAATGGCCCTAAAATCTATTCTCAGACATTTAATTTCCTACCTTGTCAAAATTACCGATTTTTCCGGGCACCCTTTCTCGCAAATCTACTATTGTTACCTGGACATTTTACCAGTCTTTTCTCGTCTACGTCGAAAATTATCGGAATTCCGACAAACTACACTGGTCTTGTGCTTGATACACTACCAGTAGCAGGTCTTGACTTTTATAACTACCTAGAAAGACACCGTTCTGGGTATGACACTAAACTGCATCCGCGTTCTGGGTAAGACGATAAACTATATCCGGCCGCAAGCCTCTGATCAGGAGGTTCTGAGGAGTGTGGACGCACCTCCTAATTGCTGGTGTTCCCAGGTGCACCCTGACCCAGGATAGTAGCACCTGTTAGGATTCCAGCTATGGACAAGTAGTTAACCCCCAAATGGGGTCAAAACACTATGTAAGTGTAAAAATAGGTTTTAGTACAAGTAATACATTTTTGTAAAAAATTATTACGAGTAATGAATTCTTGAAGGAAAAAATTATTACCTACATTATTACCAGCAATACATTTGTGAAAAAAAATATTATCAGCAATAAAACTCTTGTCGGCATTAAATAAGCCATTGATGTTGATATGCCGTAAACGAAACCAAGCCGAGAAAGACATTCACGTACCGAAGGTCGTAGCATCGTGGACAAATAGGACAAGTGTAATAATAAGAGGCATGGTGGTGTAATTGATAGCAACTTGGATTGAGGAATCGCAGAGCCGAGTTCGAATTCCAGTCGAATCCATTACATTAAATTACGTGCTAATTAATTCTTCAAGCCATGGGTAAATAGCAAAATAAACCGACTTCTATAGGCTTGGATGACAATTGGTTACTGCAGAAAGAAATGGTAACCTACTGCGGGAAAAATCTATCTCGTCAGTCATGTATCTAAAGATACATGATCGTCTAAGCGTGTATCACGCATGGCATATAACTGAGTGACTAGTAACTCATCCTAGCATCGGCCTCACAAATTGTCAGATTGATTTGTTTTTTATGGCTTATCAACACTTTGCAGGTTATTTAAAAGCAGAAAATATTTGTCTTAAGACTGTAAGAATTTTTCTGAAAATAGTAATGATCTAGTGATATAAGTTTTACTAATTAACTCATAGCCGGGCACAGAAGAGTTAGATTCATGCCTTTCCTAAGGAGATTTGCGCGTAAGTTAATATACAGAACCCAACTGGGATAAAAACTCGGCTCTCTGATTAAGACCTCCGAATCGTTATCCATTAAACCACCTACAGCACCTGATATTCCCAAGCGGTCACCCATCTAGGCACTGACTAGATTCAATATTGCTTAACTTCGGTAATCGTACGGGAACCGGTATTTTAACGTGATATGGTCGCAATCAAGTGAATGGAGGACGTAGTCTGGGGAAGTTGGCAGAGGCACGAAACTTACTGAGAGTCACAAGGGATAAGAAGAAGTGGAGAGCCATGATCGGCTGCGCCCTGAAAGAACACGGTACATAAATAGAAAGAATAGCCGCAAGCCTACAATTTGTCAGAAGACATCTTGCGTGTGAATAGACATAAAAGCTTTATTTTTATTTTTAATTATATCACCCCAAACAAGGCGATAAATCCACTAAGACGTAAGGGGGGTTAGGGGTATTAAAACATGAGAAGAAAACATAATTAAAGAGAGCAGGCCAATAAAAGAACATGAATTAAGGAAACAGAAGATGACAATTGACATTGCATTTAATTTTTTTTAAGATAAAGATGGAAAGCAAGAAGCCAAAAAGAGTTTCACAAGCGAGGCGTGCGGGCAGAGGATGTAGTACTCTAGTCTATATACACAATATATATATTTAATAGTAAAATTAGTAAATGAAATAGCAAAAAAAAAAAAAGAAAAAAAGAAAACGGTTCTAATACATCTAGCTATATTTGATTTAAAACCCATCATTTTACGCCAATAGAAACAATCTTTGCTTAAAGTCGTCATCTTGTGTACAACAACGCCACTATATACACGGCCAACCTAACAAATGTGTTTTATGACATTTTACTGCGTCCGTCATATATTCTTGTTTTGTTTTTGTTTTTTTAGTATACTAAAATTCACCCAAGTAATTGGGTTAAAACAAATATGATGGATGACGAGAAAGTATAAGTGATTGAAAATTCAGATTATGAGGATAAAGACGATTGATAATTGATGACATTGGATTGAAGAGGTTAAAATTGAAATGTTCAAGGAAATGTTCGGTAAGCAGACTTCTTAATTACAAAGAAACTACGTGGACATCACACACACGCACAGCCACACAAACACAAACGCACACAAAACAAACTACGTATTTTTTTTTTTAGATAGGTTCACCTCTCGCCCGGTTCACACTCCTTCCTCGTCGTTTGAACAGGAGTAATGATTCATCCCTTGTCTCCTGTTTAGGATTGGTTTCCAGGTTCTACGTAAAGTCTTCTTATTTTCTTTCAGTCCCAGTAACCCCTAGCGTTTCAGTGGCATTATAACATTGATTGGGGTGAAATGAAATGTTTAAAATAAATCTATATACATGGACAATTAGTTTTCTTTCGAAGTAAGCTATGTTGTCTCTCTCTCTCTCTCTCTCTCTCTCTCTATATATATATATATATATATATATATATATATATATATATATATATATAGATAGATAGATAGATAGATAGATAGATACACCTAGTGAGCCAGACAAACCTAGGTAGGTTTGTCTGGCTCACTAAATGTATCTAGGTCTGCTCTACGGTTGTATTGAGCTCTTTTGTCAGTTAGTTGTTACTCGTATCGGGTTTTTTTTCTTTGGGCTTCAGACCTGCATCTGTGCGATTTTTTTGTCGGCAGAAGTTCATGTTTGTAGCTCTTTCTTTTTTAAAACCTTTTTTTTCCCTCGAGATTGATTTGATTAGCAAATCAAAAATCCGAGGATTTTTCAAACGAGTCTAGTTATCTATCTATCTATCTATCTATCTATATATATATATATATATATATATATATATATATATATATATATATATATGTATGTATAACATCCATCCACGTGTTAAATCCATTTCTTTTGAACGTATTGAAATGTATTCTAGTTGATTTGAAAACATATTTTATGACATACCTCGATGTAATTAAAATACCAGATTAAATCCCTGTCTACAATTCTTTCCAACTACAATAAAAACAAATGAAACATACCTCGGTAGATTGGATTTATGGGATTATAATACCTCACAAACACCTGGAAGAACTTATGTAGTTGTCTGTTTGGGAGATAAATTCATCCATGGATTTATTTTCATCAATAGATTTTGGGGACGAGTCACAACACGAAATATATTAGCCATTTTATATACGTCCAACTACTATAAACTTTTTAAAAAATGGCGCAGGAAGCCACTTTACTAGGGCGGTTAGCGAATTTGAGTTTGTTTAAGACTACCAGAACCCACCTGTGGCTTATACTGCAATTTAGATATAGTTTCTGGGGGAGTCCGCGTTATCTGGGGTGGTCAAGTTTGAACAAGATGAGCCCGCTCATACCCTCGGTCACGCTAACATGAGACTTAGTGTTAACACCAAGAGGTTTTTTTTGGTATTTTTTTACCTAATTTTACTCACAGTTATGAGTTAAGGTTTTCAGGAAATTTCCAAATGTGCTGCACGTTGGGATCGTCTTCTCCAGATCGATAACATCAAGAATTCACCCTCGTGACTATATATATATATATATATATATATATATATATATAATTATTATTTATAAAAAAATTATAACATAAGTATGTTATAAAATCACTACAAAAATAGCCATTTTGTTTCAACACCGTCGGTGTCTTATCAAGTGATGATGTTGAAAATAAAATAAATGGTTTTAAAAGTTTCAGATTAATTAACGATCCTACACTAGGGGGAAACATTGTTACAAAAGCTAGAATAACCAATCAAAAACCAAGTATAGAAAGATTCAAAAGCTTGACAACGAAATCATGTTATAATAGCTATTCAGATATTAAAAATAATTTATACTAACAATACATGTATATATATTTTTTTAAAAGTGTGTGAATGTGGTCTTAAACTCACGCGCAAAACAACAAAAACACAATCAGATTATAATACATAAGCACCCATATATATATATATATATATATATATATATATATATATATATATATCTGTTGGCATATAATCCAAGTGGATCCTAGTAATATAAAATATTAAAACTGATCTACAGAAAGAGTTCATTGTATTACAATACATAGCCATATAATTAATAAACAATAAATCAAAAATTAACTCATATGGGGAATAACATATTTCGGCAGACGAACATATCGATATATAGACACGAATTAGACAAAACCGGGGTTGATAAAACAGACGACTGATATCTTCGTCTGTCGAAATAGGCGATTCACCATATGAGGTATTTTGTGATTTTAATTATATATATATATATATATATATATATATATATATATATATATATTGTTTCGCACGACACAGTGAACAATCTAAGAAAGTTGGTTCATTGTTTTGTGCGGGAAAATTTTTCTCTCCAGAATCTATCTTAGATATCTATAAGTCTATCATTCGCCCATGCTTAGAATATTGCTGCAACATAGGGTCCGGTGCCTTTGCTATTTACCTTGAGCTCCTTGATAAAATTAATCCTAAGAAGAATCAGCAATATTATTGTCCCTGATCTGGTGTGGCGCTTTCAGTCACTTTCCCCACCGCCGTAGGGTTGCTGCCTCTCTGTGCCATTTTTATAAATACTTTCATGGTAACTTCGGTATACTTTCATGGAAACTTCGCTATGATACCTAGACTTTATGAATTTAAACGCAGTACTAGACGAGCGTCGAAAACTCAGAAATATAGACAGTTTTATGGGCGTGAGATTTTACGCCCATAAAACTATATCATTCAATAACCTTTAGTCAAGAACAGAAGGCTAGAAAGTTAGAAAGGATAAAGATCATCTTGAATAAATTAGAAAATAATCCTGGAATAATAATAATAATAATATATATATATATATATATATATATATATATATATATATATACTAGCAGCATGGTCCGGGGATGCCCGTGCTGGGTTCAAAAATCGTACGACTCATACAGCAATCGCTATCACTTGACTTAAAATATTTTGCCCTTCCTTACTTTTAAAGGAGTGTCCCTTGCCGTGCTGATGTTGCTACATGCCTTACTTCTTGCCTATCTCACACTGCGAATTTTTCTAAGCTCTATACTAAACATTAAATCTGTTACGAAAAAAGAACTAAACAAAATGAACACAAAACGATCAGCTTTAAAAAAGGACTCGTAAATGGAAAAACCGAATGAACAAATACTTTTTCACACCCAATCCAGTTCTGCGGAGTCAGAATCAAAGTTGAGTTTAAGCAAGCGAATAAGCCAATTGGAGTAAAGTGCCATGCAGATTTAAATTTTTCTCACTTGTGACGAATGCAGCTATCGATTTTTTTGCATGCTAGCATGCTAGTTAACATTCATGTCAGTCAGCTGTTGGCTCCCACGCTGGCCAATAGAATCTTCCTGACTATTCGTTGGCAGCCAACTATAGGCTCTCACTCTGGCCAGTAGAAAATGACCGCAAACTACATGAAAACTGCCGTAGAAGCATGAGAAATCGATTATTTCGACTATCGATGGGAGTTTGGAAATGCAAAGTCGGTCTTGGCCTTTCCACTAACTTGGAGCATGTGTATGTAAATTTTGGTGCAAATCCGTCGAAAATTGCGGCCGTGCATTCGTTAACACACACACATTCTGCCTTTTATAGATAGAGATATAATGGTTCTCATTATAGAAGAAACTGTCAAGTAAAATTCCTTCTCTTACAATTTACATATACGTATCTATAAGTCTATCATTCGCCCATGCTTAGAATCTTGCTGGCACATATGGTTCGGTTCCCCTGCTATTTACTTTGAGCTCTTTGATAAGATAGAATCAGTAATATTATTGGGCCTAATCTTGCGTCCCCACTTCAAACGTTTTTCCACTATCTTAACGTTGACTTTTTGTGTCTTTTCTATAAATACTTTCATGGTAATTGTTCGGATGAGCTCTTCGCTATGGTATGTATGCCCATTGGCCCTTTTATTTCTGTCCATATTTTTCATTCCTTCCCTCGTTAGGTGGTCAGTGATGTCAGTTCTCTGGTGGATTCGGAGCGCCTTTGCAGATTGTGGGTGTGGGTGGGTGGGGGTGTAATAAATATTATTTTGTTTATCTTCTTGTAAATAGTTTTGTTTTCACATTGTAAATATTCATTGGGGCTAGTTTTAAAATTGTTGTCTTATCCCCCGCCTAGACAATGAATTGTACA